TGAACATTTTATTTGCAGTAAAAGAGGCTTGTTTCCTTTGAGTGGGTTCATGTGTGATTCTTCCTTGCAATTCCATGCTCATCTTTGTTCTTTCACACACAAATGAGGCCATGATTTCTTTTCTTAATTGGGCATGCAATAAGCATCCTAACACAGGCCAACAGAAAAAAAGGCCATCAGCAAAACTGCACATCTTGCCCGAATAGCTGTTTCTTTTCTTATGACATATTTAAGAATACATGACAAGCCAGTTGAAATAAAATTTCCTGTGTTTAAAAAATAAATTGTATCAGGAAGCCCAGAACTGATTGAGCACCAAAGATAAAACATAGTCCACTACCGTAAAGGTGTAATCCTACCATTTTATATTAACATGTCTCTGAACTGCAGCAGAATTGGCATCAGATTATCACACAGTTGGAAAGAGTTCTGAGCATGTGTAGGAACTTGGTTCCACCATGATTGATTAAAACCCATTGCTTTCTTGCCAAGTTACTTCATAATTGGTTTGGAAAGAGCAGCCTTTTGGAAATCTTGATAAATGATTTTTAAACTTCTTCACAGTTTATGTTACACATAATGTTTCTAAAGAGAGTGATATATTCGGCTCAAATCTTCCTGTTCTTTCTCCATAACAAATTCTGTTTTATGCCTTTTCTCTCCAGTGACTTTTCACTACAGTTTCAATTATGTGGCCAGCATCGTACACATTTTTCTTTAATGCTTATGTTAATCGTTGCATTCTCTTTGATTATTAAGCATTAAAAAGATACTAGGGCAAAATTATGTCCACTCTAGAGCCTGTTCTTTTTTACTGTTCTGTTCAATGAAATCTTCTTTAAATATCTAGGAAACAATAGCCTGTCAGTTTACCGTGGTTTAGGTACCATTTTCGTTGTAATCTGTAGCAGGGTGATTTTCAGCACAGATTGCTGCTACAGCCGTGGGGCTCAGTGGAGAAGCTAAAGTAGAGCGATCTTGAATCAGTGCTGGATTTCACCACTGCAGGTCCCACTGTCCAGGGTGGTACTGTACCGTGAGGTTGTCTTCTGTAATTGTCGGTTCAGAGCAGCCCTGTAAGTAGACGCCAGCATCTTTCCCTTCGACTCTAGAAAATTTCAGTGCCCCTTGTCTCAATCTTTTTTTTTTTTTACTTCCCTCTGTCCCGTAGCCATTAAACAAGTGCTGTTTACAAGGGAATAAACTTTTAGTACATAGCATCATGCCTTGTTTTTAAATAGTATGCCAAGCAGCAGATGCCAAATACTCTAGATTTTAAATATGTGAAAAATATTTAACTGTACAAGTGCAAGGGATACAGTGTGATAATTTGGCAGATAAATATAGTATGCAATGATCAAATTAAAGTAGTTAGCACATCTCTTTTCTTAAGCTCTTAAATTGCTTAAGTTACTAACTACATATTTATGGGGTACAGTGTGGTATTTCAATACATGTATAAAATATGTATTGATCAAATCAGGGTAGTCAGTATGTCCATCTCATTATTAGCAAGCATGCAAACGTTTTAAAGACAAAATTAATGTTTTCAGTTATGAAGTATATAGATTACAAATACAGTGGTACCTTCGTTCATAAACTTAATCTGTTCTACGATTTTGATAAAAAAAAAATGTCACATTTGTGTTTGTTACGGGATGCAGAGTTTGTGAACAAAAACGAAGTTTTGCCAAATCCTTCAGTTTGCAAATCAAAGAACCAGCTTGTTTGCAAACAAATAGTGCTCATGAACAGAATGCCACTATAATACAAAACTCCCTCTGCTGTCATGAAATTTACTCCAGTTTGATCAAGGAGATGAGATCAGCCTTCAACTGTAGTCAGTACAAGTCTGAGGGTGACAGATAAGTAGCACACATAAGTGCTAAAAGGGCTGGCCCCCAAAACAGGAGACCTTTGTCCTCTCTGTCAGAAACAGCAAGCCAGCAGCTCAGGAGCAGTCAGGAGATCGCTGCACTGCACACAGCCCAGTTGCTGGTGTTTGTTGTCCCAGGTATTTTTCAACATTTAAGAATTGGGAGATTTCCCTTGAAAGTAAACGTCAGTTTTCAAGCGTCTCTGGAAAAGACCCACATCTTGAGCGCCCTCCCCTCCGGTGCCTCCCCTCCAGGTAGTGACAAGCTGAAATGCCTTAGGCACCTAAGGCACCTCAGGTGCTTGCCTCTCCTCATATCTGACCCCTTTATTTGTCCATGCTCCTTGCTTTTACTCAAAGGCTTAGAATCAGTGAGCTCTGCTCAAACTCCTCTCTGACTTCACAGCAGCTTCTCTTTCCTTTTACCATGTTTTCCTTCACTTTTCTCCTTTGCCTTGTTACCATCATCTTAAGGTCACAATTGCTGTGCAGTCAGCAGCCAGGAAGACTCCTGGAGAGCTTCTCCTGCCCAGTCGGTACCAGCTGCACCACACCTTTCCCTGCAGGTGGCGTCCTAGGGGGTAGAAGACCATACCAGGAGAGGCACTGCCTTATAAAATGGGAGTGCAGAGCAGCAGCCACAAGCTGCGTCCTGCAGCCAGGAGACAGAGGGCTGATGAAGGGCTTCATAAGGGAGCTGCTCAGCAGGGATGCATGGGTAGAAGAGATGGAGGCAGGGTGGGCATGGCCAATGAGCATGTGAAAAGCTGTTCATTATTGCGTCAGGAAAATCAAAAGTAAAACAAGATGCATTACATATCCACTAAGACAGGTGAAATTAAATAACACTAGACACAAAGCAACTGGAATCTTCAAATGTTTCTAGAGGAGTGTAAAATAGAAGAACCATTTTGGAAAGTAATTTGGCCGTTTTTTTTTATAAAGTTAAACATACACTCACCTTCGGTATTTACCCCTAAGAAATGAAAAAGTGAATCCTTGCAGAAATGTGTGCATAGTAGTCATAATAACTCCAAGTGGGGGTCAATCCAAATGTCCCTCTGTAGGTGAGTGGGAAGCCAAGTGTGCTGTGCCCATGCGATGCAACACTACTTTGCAATAAAAATGGAATGAGCTTTGGATGCACAGAATAATATAATTGGTTTTCAATTATGCCGAGCTAAAGAACCCAGATATAATACTATTTATAAGTATATAACATTTTAGAGTCAACACTAATCTGGAGTGATAGAAAGCAGATGTATGATTTCTTGGGTGCAAAAGTGAGAGAAATGTGACTGCAAAAGGGCACTGAAACTATTTTAGGTCTTGATAGTGATTCAAATTGCAAAGGTGCATGTAGCTGTTACAGCACACAGAACAGTTTAGGTGACATATGTATGTATTGTTTCACGCTAATTTTAACCTTAGTGGTGTAGACTAAATAGAAATACTTCTAAACAGTTTAAAAACAAGGCAGACAGTCTTAGGAGGGAAGCAAAGTGACAACCAGGTGACAACCTGGAGACCTTCCAGGGCCCCAGCTGTATACTAAGCATCTGATTGCCACTAGCAGTCCTGCTATTGTCTTGTTTCTCACACCTTTAGATCATTTCTTTCTTCCCCGTCTTTGTACATCCTGCATCTAATCCAACTGCTGAGTCTTCCTTGAAGTTATCTCATGATTGCTGCCATCCTATCTTCATATGTTAAGGAGCCAATGTCATGGGTGAAGTCTTTCATTATTCTTGTTGGGTTGCTTTTATATGCAACTAATTCAGAAACTGGTTAAGGGATTATTACTTCTTTCTTATGTTTACACTTCAGCTTCCTGCCTGGTTCTGACCCAGTGTGCAGGGCAGGGTGTCAAAATACATCTTCCACCTGCCCACTTCCTTCTGACTGGACTTGCAGAGTCCCAGATCATCGTCACTTGTTGGGACTCTTGAAATGTTACCTTATGGTCTCTATGCTCTTTTCTTAACTCCTCTTTTCTCTGTCTTCCAGATGGCAGTTAGTATATTATTTTTAAAAAGCAAATCATATCATTTTAGTCTGTTTCTTAAAATGTTTCCAGTCAGTCCCCTCCCACCTGCCATTTCCCCTTCCCGCCAGCTCCCTGAGTTTCCCCAAGGCCCTTTCCAAGCTCACCCACTGTGCGGCCTCTGTTCCTCCTCCTGGGATTTTCCTCTCTGATCTTTCTAGGACTCCACACCCCTCACTGTGCCCACAGTGAGGTATCTTCCTGCCTGGCACAAGAAGAGCTTCTGTCACGTAACCTCTGAGCTCTACCTTCGTTATAGACTCGTTCTGTGATTTATTTTCTGCCTCTTCCCCCCAGTTCACAGCCACCATGAAGACAGAAATGTTTTCAGTCTTGTCTGTCGTTATATCCCCAGCACCTTGTGTAGGACTCGCCAAGACACTTACTGAATTCCTTGTCGCGTGAACGAATGCTTGGAAGTACAATAGTCAAATCATAGTCAGTATTTCCTCTGGTTTTTCCTTAACATGTTCTTTTTCTAAAGTTTATTTTTTTCTGACAGTGGTCCCATCGAATTATATTGCCTTATGAGTGCCTAAGTCATCTTAACTTGCAAAGTACACTCTGTTATGTTTGCATAACAAAAACGACTAATGATGCCTTTCTCAGGAATTATTGTTGACCAAAACATCATTATATGGTAATAAGAAAAAGTCTTTATCTTTATGCAGGGCCTTACTTCTTCTGCTGCTTTTCTTTCCTTAATGGTTGTAGCTGTCCAGTACCGTCTTCATTTGTGGTTAGGACTGCCTGGAATATTCCGTAATGCTGGCCTGCTGGTGGACAGTTTTTTACTCATACATCTAAAAATGTTTTTATTTTTCCCTCCTTTTTAAAGATGTTTATGCTAGGTAAAAATTCAGGATTCAAGTGCTTTTCTCGGTATTTAAAAACTATTGTTGCAATGTTTAGCTTGTATGGTTTCCAATGAGAAATGTGCTCTAATCCTTACCTTTGTTTATGTGTCTAATGAACATGTTTCCATGGCTGCTTTTACAGTTTCTCAGTTGATTAAAAGTTTTGAGCAATCGGGAAGAAAAAATTTTTAAGTTTTATGTTTTTTTCATCTCATTCTTACAGGTACCTCTGTTGTGACTGTAAAAGCCTTTGCTCCTGATGCCCTTGGGGATGTTATTAAGTACTCGGTGTTTAGTGGAAACAAAGATGGAGTGTTTTCTTTGGACTCCAACTCAGGTAACCTCTACAGTAGCTTTACTCCTGCTTCGTTTAGGGTTACTGGTAGCAAATACTTCTCCAAAATTTTCAGGGTAGAAATTGTTAGAGGTAAATCATCAATAAGGAAACCTGAAATTTTTTATGGTTAGCGAATGAAAAATTGTGGAAAATCCAGAACCACATATGTATTTGTTTAGATACATTCACGAAGAGTTCTATTCTACTTATTTTCAAATTAGTGTCTGTCCTCTGCTTTGAATTTTAGAAGATGAATTGGCTTTTACTTACAGTTTACCAACCCATACGGTGAAACTGGAGGTCCAGCAGGGAGATCATTAGTAGTGAGTCTGAATTGGAAATAAGCTCACCTGCCCGGCCTGAGGAAGTTTGAATCCGAGAACCTTCTAACTCACTTAGGAATGTTAACAGTGTAGAAAAAGAGACAGCTCGCAAAGTTTCTATGTGGTGGTAAAGAAATCACCTCCAAATACAGCATTATTAAATGTAACTTTAATAAGTCCACTGTTGTGCTTTAAATGAATACCAGTTGATTATTTCAAACGCACTTTTCTACCTAACCACTGTGCAGTAGGCATGGATCTATTGTTCATTGTCAAAGCCCAGGAAGTCTGTAGTAATTTCTGTGTTGACATCCAGCTGTCATGTTTATCGTGCACACCCGCACCAGGAAGAACTGAGGGGGACGGTTTCTCAAGTCAGTGCCTCTGCATCCGCATGGTACTCTGACTTTTTGGTCTACACAGTGTTTGTTTGGGAACCTACTGAGGTGTGAGACGTGGTTCTTCACCCTTCACCCCAGGGCTGAGTTACAGGGCAACCAGGAAGCCTCTTGGCAAAAGGCAGGCGAGCAGAATTGCTCCTTTCTCACTACCCAGGTGTCTTCAGGGTGCTGGGATAGGAAGTGGATTAACATGTTTAGGAAAAAAAGAGAAGAGTAGAATTTGCCTATTTTCTGTCTTCTCAAACGCTGCAGTCTTGTCACCCCTAACATGCCCCTGATGGGGTTCCCCTCTTGAAATTTCCTTATGAAAATCTACAACAGGGTATGCTAAAAGAACAGTGGACAATTGACACACAAAAGCTTACACACTTGCCACCTGTGTCAGGAAGTGAGACATTACTGGAACTTGTGGAACAGCTACATCAAGCTAAGTAACAGAAGCTCTATCACAATCTGTCTTTTCTTTCTCCTCAGAGGTACTCAGAAACCCAAGTTTAGTATTGATCCTAATGTGGTTGCTTTTCTTATAATTTTTCCACAAGGCTTGGATCCCTAAATCATGTTTTCTTTTGTTATCCATTTCAGAAATAAGACTTTGCAAGAAATTCAGGAGTCACTGTGTGATGTGGTAACATTTATCGTAGAATCACGCTGTGTACCTTTCTGAGCCTTGACTGCCTGGTTCAACCTTTTACTGACTTATGGTGACTGAATTATCCCCCTTTAAAGAGTGGGTCCAAAGAATGACAGTGCCTGTTTGCATGTCTTTTGTTAGATTTAGTCTAACTAGTTTATTCTTTCTTTTGCTAAAGTAGATTTTAAAAATATCTTTTTGACTATACGGTTATTATGTTTCAAAGTGATTTTGTCTCAAGCAGGGTTACATACTTATTGATTCTGATATTTTTCAGTGCATTCAGCATAAACAAGTGCTATCTGACCACTTTCTCCTGTTTGATGTAGAAATGATATAAATTTTTATTTTAGTAGCCAGTCTAGTTATTTTAAGATATATAATTAAAACCCAAAATGAGATAATACAAGAAATTTTATCTCCAAATATTTGTTGTATGGTTTACATATTTTTGTTTACCATAGTTTTATTTCCTTCAAATTAGGTACAAGTTGTGTGTTTAAATAGACTTATTAGCTTTTAAGTTAATGTTATCACAAACTGATCTTTCTTACATCCCAGATTTTCCTCAGTTATCATTTTATTTGTACCTGAAATATCTCTTTTAGGGATTTGAGATTTTGGTGGTCATGAATTTCTTTAGTTGTTCTTAGTCGTGGAAGTATCATATTTCTGCATTTTTAAAAAATTTGTACTAGGAATTGAACTCAGGGCCTTGCACTTGCCAGGCAGGCTCTGTACCACTAAGCTACAATCCTGGCCCTTTCTCCATTAATTTTGAAAATAATTTTCCAGGGTACCTCAATCTTGGTTGGAAGATGTTTTCTTTCAGGTCTGGAAATACTTCACTGCAATCTCTTCCTGGCTTGATAGTTTGTGTTGAAAAGTCTGTCATGATTCTGACAGGTTTTCCTTTATAAGTGTTCTGTTTCTTTTCTCTAACAGCTTATAATATTCTGTTTTTGTGCTAAATTTCTGGGATTTTGATTATTTTATACCTTCGCTTAGATTTATTTTGGTCATGGCTAATTAGAGTTCTATATGCCTCATTTACCTATAAGTCAAATTCTTTTTCCATGCTTGGGAATTTTTTTGCCTTTACTTCTATGAAGTCTTTTTATGTCATGAGTGCTGACTACTGCTTATTTCACTGACTCCAATCAATTGTATGTTAGTTTTCTTTGCATCACCTTGCAACTGTTGAATTATTTTTAAGAGATTTTCCTTTCATGATCGCTAGCTGTGGTCCTGTCTCCTAGATCTGATATTCTATCTTCACTTTTGTTGGTGTGGTTTTGCAAACTTTCAATTGAATTTTTAATTTCCTGGATATCTGTTTGAATCTGTCTCACACATTCCATTTCTTTCCAATGGCAGGCATTCATGATTTCTATCATTTTCCTATGCGCCTCTCTTTTTTCTAAATCTACATCTACTCCAGATTTGCTGAGCAAGATCTTCATTATGGTTGTCAGATATTTTTTTCTTTTTCTTTCTTTCTTTCTTATTTTTTTACGTGAGAGATTATTCTGATCCAATTTGCCGTATAATCTCATGGACTTGTTTACTCTGTTGCTGTCATTTCAGAAATCTCAGGTGTGTGCCTTTCATTTCCCCCTGTCTTCTGGTCCCTGAACTAAAGAGTCTTCATTTAATCCTCGTCTGTTATATACTTTTGCTGTTCTTGTGCTTTCAATCTCACAGTTAATTTCTCTCATAATACACTTTATCAATGTCTCCTGAACCCCCATTATGGCATCTGAAAATGGCTTTCATTTGTATGTTTTCCTGGAGCTCCATTTAGGGAAATATTGGGCCAAAAGACTCCTACACCCCTTTTTCATTTCTCTGGCTCTTTTTCTCTTCAGTCTAAGGAAAAGTATTTTTTCACTTCTAGAAGTTATCTCTGATTCTTTTTCAGTTCCTCTGTATCTTACAAAACCAAATCTTTTGCTCCTCGCTCATGTTTCCAAGGTTGTTTTTTTGTATATTTAAGCCGTTGAGCTGGGCTGGTAGCCCAGTGGTAGGCCAATGGCCTGGTATCTGCCTGGGTTTGATCTCCAGCTCTGCAAAATACAGGTATAGAATCCAGAAGTCTTAGAAGATTGGTTTTGCTGCCTGTATTTGCTTGTCCCATTCCTGATGACGTGTTTCTCTATGATTTTGGTGCCTATACAAAGAACTGCTCACTTTCTTTGGAAGTTTTCCTTTAGGGATTCTTTTAAGCCTGGGTTGAATTTGTCTCCCTTTAGAAGAATTTGCTCTCCCCTCAAATTCATCTGGAGACATCATCAAGGAGAAATTAGTCTAATTTTTAGTGTTTCAAGAAAGATATGCAACTAAAGATAGTATGGCACCATAAATCCAGGAGCTTTTCTCTTCCTTTCACTTAACACCAACATTGAGAAGTTTGGGTTTCTGTGTACAAATTTTTAGGATTTTTTTTGAAATATTATAACTTATTTAAATCAATTATTGATCACTTATTTAGCCTTTGGATTTCCAACTATATGCCAAGTTTTCCTATTAGCCCTTTAACTTTTTGTGGGGTTTTCTCACCTTGTTTTCCATGCTCTGTACAATTTGTGTCTCAAGGAAGTTGCGGTAGAACCCCCTGGGATGATTATGCATGTTTTGGTGCCTGCTTAACTCCAGGATTCCTGTTTACAATCTCATTCTCTCCTGTAAGGATCCCTAACTCAGTAATGCATTTCAGTGCACATGCATACACATATATAGCATACACATACATGCATTTAGTTTATCAAGCATGATAATTGTTTTTATCATGACAATCATCCAAATGTATGTTTTACCATGCTACTGTCAAGAAAACTTCTGTGAAACTTTATATTAAATACATCCTTCATACTAGGTTTTTTGGGGGGGAGAGTATTGGGGATCGAACTCATGACCTTGTGCTTCCCAGGCAGGTGCTGTGCCACTGCACTATACCTCTGGCCGTCCTTCATACTAGCTTTGACAAATTACTGTTAAACTTGGGTCAAAGGTACCTAACATAAGTTATATGGATGTGTGTATTTTAAACAATAAATGTACTAAAATAGAAAACTTGTATATGATAAACTAATAAAATTAAGCCTTAACACTGTGCTTATGTGATGGGGTCTTATTCCATAGTTGCAAACCAAAGGTTGACTTTTGAAAAGTTTACTTTTATAAATTTCATGGCACTTTGGATTAAAAACATCTATTACTATCTAAACTAACAAGAATTTGGTGTTGGACTAAGACTGTGTATGTAAATAGCAGATGGTAATAATCTATTACTGGGTAGATAGACATAAAACAAAATGACCAAACTTTCAACATTTCAAAGACCTAGTTGTAGCAAGAGAGCACTTAAAAACTATTGGATAACATAAATATCTGTTGCATTCTGCTTTGCTTGTATACAGATGTGTGTGCACAGTGTGTAACTGGCTGAAGTAACCTGATCATGTTATCCAGCATGTAGTATTGGAGGAATCTTAATCTCATTTTGATGTGCATTGTATAACCTGGACAAAAGCTATTGATGTACATATATTAGAGGGCAAATATTATCACAGTTTTGTTCTCAATTTATACAACTGGCATATAATATATGAAGGTGATACTTGTGAGGCTTCTTTCTTGCTCTAAAAAATGTGGGTTTCAGGGGCTGGGGGTTTAGCTCAGCGGCATAAGCGCCTGCCTTGCAAGCAGGCAGTCGTGAGTTCGATCCCTGGTACCGATAAAAACGAAAAAAAGACAAAAAAAAAAAAAAAATGTGGGTTTCTGCCCATACCTCGTAAGAGAGTTCATTAGTCCTTTCATGTCACTAATGGTTATGTCTGTGATGTCTCTGGGGAAAATATGTGTGTATCATCCTAGGTAAAATGTGGACTTAGTAAATGTGCCAGCCTGGAGTCATCCCTTAGACCACTATTGTCTTTTCCAATTGCACGACTTTCACAGCATGTGCCAGCTTTTCCTCCAAAAATAAAAACCAAGCAAGAAAAACATTAGAACTGTAGATCCATTCCAAGTGCAAAATTCCAGTTCTCAAAGCTTACACACAAGCCTTTTATTAAAAGTTCCACTTTGATCTGCACCATAATTGGCACATTTTCTACTAAATGACACTGGCAATGTAGTGCTACTATTCTATTTCCTTTTTCCTGTGCAGACAGTAACACAATAGCATGGTAACATGAGGCTCTGCTTGGTAGGGAGCCGTGGACCCCCCTCAGGCTCTTGGTTCCTCTGCCATGGGGGTGCGGGGATCCGCCCTTGTATAACAGAGGGTAAGAGTACAGCTACTTTCAACAGCTCATGAAGTGTATTTTCACGATTCCGCAGCTGCCCCAAGTTGGAGCTCCTCTAACTTCTTTGGCAACAGTATTGATCACAACAGACTGGTTTGTACAAGAAATTTGGCTCTTGTGCAAAAGCAATACTTAAATCTGAGGTCAAAATATGATAGTGAATGATAACACTTAAATTTTGTAGGATAGTGAATTCTTAATGTAAAATAAAAATAGTTCATTTTTTTCTGACTAGTAGAAGGTAAGCTATAAAATTTTCTATCAAACACTCGATCTCAAAGACACACTGTTAAAACAGGGCATGATTTCTCCCTGTATCCAAATCATTATCCCATGGCCTGTTTTTTGGTTGATTATCTGTTGAAAGTGATTTGCACAGAGCAACAGCAGTGGTTTCCAGCCATTAAAAAATAAAATTCTCTCTTCAGAATATCAAACTCCTAAAGGTGTGCATGTATTAAGTTTTATTTTGAAACTCACAGCTTACAGCAATATTAAACCTGTGCTCTATCCTCTGATGTAAGGAAGGCAAAGCTGAGTAAAGCACCTGAAACCTACAGAGGGGACATGCCTTGTGTACTTTCTGCCATTCTCACAGATGCTCAGAAACCACTGTTAGGGCTTCACATCACAGGAGGGGAGCCTTAGCCCTCCAGCATGTGAAGACCTTGCTTCAGGTCCCAAGAGTTGGTAGGTGGTGGTACCCAGGGATCCACCAAGATTAAACGGCTAGCACTGGGATTTGTTCTTGGTGTCCAGTGTGTCCAACTCCAAATCAGTGCTCATTCAGGAAACCTCTATTTCACAGAACTTCTGATAGTGAACACCCAAATGAATAATAATAATGATATAAAATTGGATCTGACAATTTATTCTAAAGTGGGAGAGAAAACATAGACACTGAAGAAGGAAATTATATGAAAGGAATTTGGAGAAGAATCTTGAACATGGCGTCACCCCCAAAAGTCCAGGTCTCTATGGAGAAGAATCTTGAACATGGCGTCACCCCCAAAAGTCCAGGTCTCTAGCCTGATTCCACGTGTTAATGTGAGAGGATCTTGACCAGACTCTAATCTGGGGATTGGGGAGCTAGAGAGGTTGAGCCAGGGAATGGAACAGGTGAGCAAAGTCATGATTCAGGTGCCCAGAATTGCAAGTGGTCTGTGGATGGACACAGAGGCTGGGAGGGAGCAGCTGCAGGGAAGCTGGAGCGATGCTGGAAAGGTCCACTCAGCAGGTGCGGGGCTGGGCTGGCTCTGGAGGAGAAGGCTGGTGTAAGAGAGTTCCCCAATCAGCCATTTCATTCTTCCTTCCCCCTACCTGTTTGATGCAGCAAATGCACATTAAGTTCCTCTTTTTCAGGAAGACTCAGGCCAGTCGGGAGGGGGGCTTTAGACAGACAGGTGAGCTTAACAGTCGGTGGTGATTTGAGACATTTTTAAAATACCTGCAGGCCAGGGATGTAGCTCAGCGGCACAGCACCTGCCTGGTAAGTGCGAGGCCCTGAGTTTGATGCTCAGTATCAAAAAGAAAACACTAAACATTAACAAATATAATACCTGCACCATCATTTACTTTTTGTTTGTTTGTTTGTTTGTTTGTTTTTCCTCCTTGGCAATAAAATTAGGACAACTGACTGTTAATGAGCCCAAATTTCTCGATTTTGAAATCAGAAAGGAAATACTGCTCATTGTTTTAGCTGAATGTGGTGAACACAGAGCCTACAGCAGAGTAGCAGTCTCCATCCGGGATGTGAATGATAATGCCCCATGCTTTGAGCAAGGTGTCTACCAGGTGTCAGTGTCGGAAGGCCAGGGCCACAATGCCCACGTCATACAGGTAACAGAAATGTGTGTCTGCGGTGTGTGGGTGTGTGAATCACTACACAGCCATGTGCATCACCATGTGTACGGCCTATGTCCAGCACAGAAATGTCACCGTGTCTTTGGGGTGTGTGCAGCCTTTGATGGATGGGATAAAAGTCTTGCCTGAATGAAATCTGAAATTTCTGCATGCACTTTTCTGCTTCACTTAGGGCTCATACCTGGCCACTGCTTTCTCGAAGGACTCTGAGAATTACCATGGGGACATGGCAGAGACACAAAAATAACTGGACTTATAATGCATGCAGTTTAGTGGGAAGTTGGAAATGCATAGATTTTTCACAATACATTTCTCTGATTTAAATTTTTTTATTTATTTAATTTTAAAGGCAATAAAACAACAATGAAACAAATTGAAACAGCGATAAGACAGTAGGAAGTCTACAGTGGTTACTGTATTGCATGTTGTTGTCCTCTAAATAGTTGCTGGACTTTAGGCTGGAAAAGTCAATGCATTTCTGTGAAGAACAGACCTAGCCCACACCGCAGATTGAATCTTTGCTAACGCAAGAGTTGGTTCCGTCTAGGTAACTGCTAGGGACCTGGACAGCGGGGCCAGTGGCCTGGTCGAGTATTCCATCGTCTCTGGCAGCCACGGAGAGGCCTTCTGGGTGGATGCGCTGAGTGGTGTGGTAACTGCCATGGTACCCCTGGATCGCGAGAGCATGGATTCCTACAGGTGCGTTCCGGACGCCCCTCTGTCTGAGTGGCTCCTCTGAGTGATTGCTGTGAACACTGTTGCTTTGGGCTTGGTTTCCTGTTACATAAGCCTAGTTATAGAAAGTACTTTCCGCTGATCCAGCTTGCAGTCAGTATGTCCTTGTTGGCATGTTGAAATTGTCTTGGAAATTATTTGCTATTTGAAAAAAGCGATTAGACCAGGTCTAAGATTTTATGAACGTGTGATGCTGTTAAGGACCTGGTAAGAGGGGTTAAGAAGAGGGGTTATGACCTGACTCTAGCTGCAGACTTCTGCTGTTACTGTGTTTAAAGGTAGTGTAGACTGAATGGCATGTTCTGTGCTCTTATTTTATATCAGGAAGTACAACCTTATTGCTCGTGTCCTTTGGGCAGTATTATGTTCTAGTAGAAATGATCTTATTAAAAGCACGCTTTCAACATGAAATTTTTTTAAACCTGGAGTCCAAAGTGCAAGCCTTAGGCAAAACTCTACAAAGGAGAGAATAATAGTATCATAGTTCTTCCAGGCATTTAAAAAGTCAGTGCTATCTAAGTCTAGAACAATATACAGAGTGGGATGTTCTTACATATACATATGTATACATACAATATACATATACATATACATATACATATACATACAATATATATATTGGGATGTTCTTACAGCATCCCAATCTATAAGAGCAAAAGATTCTAAGAAGCCTAACAAGTTCATGAATGGACACTGCTTAAAGGATAATAGTACAGCTTTTCCCTGGCACAACATGAGACTGATGTTTATTTTAAAAAAGGCATTGGTGTATATTTGCTAATTAGGATAGAGTTCTAAGGTTCATGCCTATGTGAAGAAAGAGCAAGGCATACTGTCGTGCTTATGTAGCAGGACTGTTGAAAGAAAAGCACACTTGTATACTTGACATGCTATAACATGGCCTGTCTCTGGAGAGATGATACGGAAATCTATGGTCAAAAACAAGCTTGGCTTTTTCAAGGACTTCTTCCTTATTGTGCTTTTATGTTTTTCCTCAGAGGTCTTCCACATATCATACAGTGTCTCCCCTTAACTGTTTCAACATCCTCATTGGAGACCCAAAGCTTAGTACTTAACCCTTGTACATAGTGATGTTTTTCCTCTCTACCCTACCTGAAGTCTTGCTGCATGGTATTAGAGCTAATTTTTGCTTTCACATTTTATGCCCTGGTGCCTCCTTTGCATCACTGATCTTTATCTTTAGGGTCACTAGGAAATAAAACATGTGTTTCTTGAACACAGGCCTTCCCATGAGTAAGACTCAATCTGATAATGGAGATGAATACTGAGTAACTAAGAGGCGAGTGGTATATATAGGGTGGATATACTGCACAAAGGGATGATCCGCATCCAGGGTAGGACAGAGCAGGGCAGCATGAGATTGCATCACATAACAATATTTTTGTGGGGCTAAGCAATGAGAACAATTAAAATGGAACGTGTTACTTGATAGGTTAGAAAAATACCCCAGTTCTGAAAGTTTAAGTGGATATTTTTGTTGTTTAAGATATTTCAAAACATTGCTTAAATAGTGTTTTTAAAAATTAAAACCTTAACTCACATTAAATATTAGGAACACTTTAGTAATACTTTAGAGTAGCTAATTACTGTATTTAACATATAAAGATGTTCGGCCCTATTCCCACTGCACTGCTTCCCAAATGATTTTACCCTTGAGCACTTTCCTATGCCGAGGGTGAACCAGGCGTTTCCCACCTTGCTGCTCTTTGAGTGATTACACACTCTGCAGTGGCTTTGGACCGTTGGCTGGATTCCAGCAGCTAAGCACTTTCCAGTTGTCATGACTTCTGTGACAAAGCTCCTTTACTTACTAGAGCCAAATAGATCTAACTCCATTCACCTATTTCCTATTTGCATTGTAATTTCCATGCACCTAATATTCAAATTGGCCTCAACATTTTAAGATGGCTTTCTTCAGTTCCCCAGGAAGACTTTAATTCAAGGTTGGAGAAGCAACAATGAAAAGAAAGTAAAATACTCCCTCCTTCCATTAGCATTGAGAGATACACACAGATCACGATACACACAAGAGAAATACACACACACAAACTCCAGCTTCACCAAAGCCAGGAAGCGGTTTTTAAAAGTATATTTTTGAAATTGATATGTGCATGTAATATCTTGATCATTTTCTATCCCATAGTTCCTTCTCCTTTTACCCTCCCCCTTACCTTTTTCTCCATCTCCACAAGTCTTCAGCTATTTGCTGGTCATATCTCCATTCATTTATTTATCTTTCGGCTTTTTATAAAAAAGAAAACATGTGACTTTGACTTCCTGAATCTGACTTATTTAACTTAGCACGATGCCCTTCGTGTCCCATGATGGTGAGGAAGTCTTTTAAGCTTGAGGCTCTCCCCGTGTCTTGTTCTACCCCTGCCTGCCTGGTGGTTCCTGTTTTTCTGTAATGCTTTCCTCAATATTCAAGGTAGTGAAAACTGTAAGATGATTTTCCCCCTATTTTGCAACACCTTTAGTGAATGCTTTGGAGATGGGGTCCTTTAGCTTTCAAATATTGCTGTCTTATCTCATTGAGGAAAATATTCCTGATTCCAGTACTTTGTTTTAAAACATAAAATGAAGTAATAAATGGAGATAGTTTCAGTTATGATTACATTAAATGTAAATGTATTAAATATTTTTAGTTTTCATGTGAAATCAGATATAAGAAAATTCAGTGGAAAGATGAAAAACTTTAAAACAGGCATTAAGTTCTGTCGAGCTGACATATCTAAATTTATAGAAACTGTTTACCAACTAGGAAGGTCGGCATTCAAAGACAGATAAAACAGTCCTGACCCTTGTTCATAGGGAGCTAATAATTGAGTTCCAGTAAAATCCCACAGCAGAAAGTATATTAATAATCACAATAGCCCTTTATAAGGGTCTGTTTTTACAATAATTATTTGCTGAATTCTTATGATAGATATGATTTACAGAATGAAAAAATTGAAATTAGTGAGTGGTCATAGTAATGTTTCCTTGGAAACAAAAAAAAACCTCGGAAGGTTAATATAACAAAGAAGCCTCAGCTCAGGGTCATAATGGTTCAATTTGGTAGGACTTTAAATAAAAATGAGCAGAAGAAATTCCTATGTGTTAATTCAAATGCTTAAAAATTTAACTTCTATACCAAACATAGTCAAGGTGCAAGAGCAATTGTTTGCCAGAAGCAGTGCTCAACTTATGGTGTGCTCTCCACTAAAGGCTCCCTGTGACTGTGAGAAGAAAAAAAAGCAAGAAAAAAGAAAAAGAAAAAGCAGTTATATATACATGGAGAAGGACTGGGGAAGTTACTAAGTATCTTTTCCAAAACACACAGCTTAACAAGCAGCAAGACTGAAATTAGAGGCCCAGTATATTTACACCCTCTAGAAAAGACAGAGGAAGTCACTCTAGGCCAGAGGCATGAAGAAGGATGGATGTGTGCAGGCCTGGGTGTGTTTGGAAATAGAAAACCATTAGCGCACACCTGAGATGCAAGTGACCAGAGGCTGCCTGATGTAGGCGATCTGGAGGAACTCACGTGCCCTGAGGGCCCGTTCAGAATCCCTGCAGACCCACGTCATGATTTGTTATTGATTTCCAAGCCACTGCAATGCTTTTTGTGTGTGCTTTTGTTTTGAAACTGAGTAATCTATTTATTTCCATAGCAAAGGAATTTGCTTTTGTTTTAAAGGAACACAGGCATTACCTAGAAGCCCTTGTAGCATCATAGCTGGCACTTTTTGCCAGGGAGGGGCAGGTAGCAGGGGGAGGGAACACTAGGAGTTGATTATTGTTAGTAAAGTATTTCCATATGTACCTGACTGATAGCCATGCTTACAAAAATAGGAAAAAAGAACCTTCCACATGAATCGATTCCTTAGCTCCTTAACTGTGACATTCAGATGGCTATTGTGATAGTGTGGGAGGCAGCACCTTGTAGGCTACAAGTAGGCTTCCTGAACCCAGAGTGATAGTGACCATTTTCTGTTAACTGGAGTCTGGGCTGAGAAAGAGTCCGTGCTCTCTATGAAAGGTGGCACAGATGTGTAATCCCAGTGCTCTGGGAAGCTGAGGCAAGAGTTTTGCAAGTTCCGACTCAGCCCAGGCAACTTAGTGACTTAGGGAGACCCTAGGGTTCTCAAAACAAAAAAGAAATCAAGTCAGGTGCGAGGCCAGTGAAATCTCAGCACAGATGTGAGCCTGGAAAGACTGAGGAGAGCGGCAGAGATGCCAGGGAGACTCCAGGGTAGGGAAGCTCTTGAGCCCACACTCGGGGCTTGGATAGCCTTGATGTGGAGAGACCAGGGAAAGCCTTTAAAAGGGGGTCAGGTTTTTTAATTAAAATTTTAGAGCAGCCACAGTGTGGGAGATGAAGGGAGCAGATGAGACCTGGAGCTCTGAGGTCAGTAAGTTAACAAGCGCTCCGGAGGGGAGAGGAGGCAGGACGCCCACAGCATTCCAGCTGCAATGATGAGGGCCTCAGACCACAGGGACTGACCCGTCCAGGCGTCTGCAGGACTTCCCTGGATTTAGTGCTGGAAATTTTCCTGCAAATCCATGCACCAGGAGACCCTTCAGCCCTGGGCAAAGCAGGAAAGCAGGATGGAGCTCACCCTACCCACAGCTCTGAAGTAAGGATGAAATGAATAGAACACAAACCCAGGAAATAAATAGAGCACAAACTCAGGAGGAAAATTATTAATAACTTCTAATTCATTAGATGTTGTAGGGGTGTTGGGAGAAAGGGGAAGTTGAAGGTGGTAATAAGATTTGTAGCTCGGTTGATGGAGATACTACTTGTAGCACCATCCAAGAGAGATTCAGTGCATGTGAGTTCTTTAATACAATGATCTTTTCCCTCTACTTGGCAGCCCTAGCCAATCATACACCTGTCATGTGTATATTAATCATAGCAGTATCCAGTCTTCATTCTGCAACTTGGATTGATTTGAAATTTAGATCTGGCAAATATCAGTATAAAACAATCTCCTGGTAGTTGTTTCTTTGGTTGACACAGTAAGAATGACATACATAGCAACATCTGTCCACATTACACATGACAGCGTGGGGACCACCAAGCTATAGGTACTGGGTTTTTGTGGGTTTTTTTTTGGTTTTTTTTTTTTGGTTTTTTTTTGCTTTTAGGTTTTTCATAGTAAGATAAGATTGAAATCAAATTTTTAAAGTCTGTCTCCCTAAAGTAGTCCATTTGTTCTGACAGTAATGTCTCATGACCTCTGGTAATTTTCTTGATTTGGTTCTTTTTTTTTTTTTTTTTTTTTTTTTGTCTTTTTCATTTTTATCGGTACCAGGGATCGAACTTACGACTGCCTGTTTGCAAGGCAGGCACTTATGCCGCTGAGCTAAATCCCCCTCTTGATTTGGTTCTTTAAGCATGTCAAAAATAAATAAATTTCAGGCTACCATTCTTGTGAAATAAACTTTAGATGATGCCATTTAGAAAAAGCTAGGGAAGAAATGGAAATAGGTCATTTTAAAAGCTTCAAATAAATATTTATGCTGTTTTTCTAATTCCTGCATGGTACATAACCTTTGAATCTTTTCCCAAACAGCCTGGCCGTGCAAGCTGCAGATAAAGGGACTCCCAGGCTTTCTGCCACGGCCACCATCCAGATTCAGGTGATCGATATAAATGACAATGCTCCAGTTTTTCTCCCCTTTGAAGCAGTAGAAATTGAAGAAAGTAAGTGTGACCATTGGGAATAGTAGCTTTGGTTAACGTAGATATCCTCTATAATTCTTTTCAGTCCAACATTGAACTAAATATGAGTACTCAAGAGCTCTACAAGCTACATAATTATTTCCATGGATGTCATAAGTTAAATATCAAAGGCCAAAGAAGTCAAATGGAAAGGAAGGCTTTGCCTTCAGACCAGGAGGAGCCTGCCTCCGTCTCCTGACAGGAGCACCTCTTTAGTTCTTAAGAACTATGTCTTCTCTGCAAGGAGTGTGTGTGAATCTCCTGTGAGAAACCACATTCGCAGACCCGCTGCTCCATCAGTGTTTGCGTAATACTAAAGACAGCTCACGAAGTGAGATGAGTGTTGGCTACCCAAAGTCATCATTGTCCTCTAGAGTGACCTGACCTCTCAACAGGGGCTGAGATATAAAGGTTTCATGTGACGGACTGATGCAGCTCCTTTGTTTGGATCTGTGGGTTGTACAGTGCTGCTGTCATCTGTGAGCCCAGAACTGTCCCTGGCCATTGCTCTGGTGGTGAGACCCAGGCCAGCACCTCCTGGCTGAAGCGTAACATAGGGGCCAACCCTTGCTTGCCTCTATGCTTTCACTTCGGATTCCAAACTCGTTCCTCAAATCTTCCTAACACTTTATTAGATTCGCTTTCCAAACAAATTATAACTCCGCCTCTCACGAAAGAATAGATGGCAGAAATCTATTTGCCTACAGTTTCTAGAACACAGTCTATAAATAAAAATAATTCTCCAGTTTTGACTTTAAGTCTCTTGATATATTTTCCCTTTTCCTGTATAGAAAGTACTGTCCTTGAGCACATGCCCTGGTGTTAAAACTCAGCAATGTGTCTAGAATAAATACAAGAACAAATTGTGTAAATCAAAATGTACTGAGTAGACCAAAGGGTGATTGAGCACACATCAAAAATGCTTGAGCTTGAAAACTGAAAATTATGAGATTTGTACACAGCAGAGCCATTCTGAGCTCTTGGGCACATTCTTCCCATCTGCACCATGCTGTCTGCTCAAAAGCCCATCCCCTTTCATGGACAGCGGAGGCTGGAGGAATCGTGTGGCTTGTGAGACATTGAGTGTGCCTTCTGCGTTATGACATTTTTCTGCTGAATGACATTAGAATTTGCTTCCACCCCTAGTACTGTGGGTGTTTCGTCTTTCTAGAGTCCTGATAATTCTGAGGCTGGGATTTGAGAGAACATGGTATGCCATGTACCACTCTTAAATAATTTTACAAAAATAAATGCAAATAAATAAGTAGCTAATTTTAACACCCATATCCAAATATTTCTATTCAAACATAGCTTGCTTTTCAAAATTTTATGTTTTGCAGTAATGTTTCAAATAGTACCCTTCTTCCTATTCACTTCCCCTATGAAAACTGCATATGATTTTAATACAGAAATTATACAGCACAGGAAAGTGCTGCGACTGTTTGTCAATCCTGGAATTGGGTTGTAAGAATCTGATGAAACAAAGTAATACAAAAAAACTCAATTTACCCTAAATTTCCTTAATTCCCTCCTCCATGGTAAGTTTTCACTTTTATGGGGTTCATAAATTCTTCAGAGTTTTTGTTTAGCTTATAATGAGCTTTGAATGAGAAATCATGCCAAGACTGGGCGAAGTCAGTTGGACTTAAAATGAAAATACTTGGTGAACTATTAAAGAGATGTCTTTTGAGGGTGGATTCTAATGGAGACTGACATTGGTCATGATTGTTTCAGATGCTTTGCCTGGTGTGATTGTGTCTCGGCTCTCAGTTCATGATGTGGATTTGAATCCGGCTTTTATCTTCAGTTTTGCAAAGGAAGGCAATCCTGGAGCCAAGTTTGCTCTTGACCAGAACACTGGAATAGTGATCTTGGCAAAAGCATTAAATTTTGAAGAAGCTACCAAACACGAGCTGCTCATCCAGGTTTCTGATTCAGTGCACCGGACAGAGAGCTCCCTCATTGTCCAAGTGTTGGACGTCAATGATAATCCGCCAGTATTTTCCGAAGATTTCTATCAGGTAAAGAGCTTAAGCAGACGCTGAAGCCACAGACCAAGCTAGAAAGAACAGGAAGTAACAAAAGCCTTCCATCCTTGATCTTCTAATTTGGCCAGAAAATGTTCATGGTTTTTAGTTCCTGAGTGAATGGTGCAAGTTTTACACTTAATTCTGTGGACCCTGTAAGCACACAGAGAACTCTGAAGTCTCACTCGGTTCAGTTTATCAAGTCATCAGTTTAAAAATGTTTATAGGCTTGGAATTCTGTCACTTATTACAATTGGAACTTGCCTAGTAAGGCCACAAAAAAAGGAAGAGAGTTGGGATTATGTGTGGTTGATTTGGAAAAATTCTTTCTTTCCTAGGTGTATTTTTGCAATCCAGTGATTCACATCTCACAGAAACAAATAATAAGCAAATCTGTAAAGCGGAAATTTTAATTCTGAGGGCACAGTATATGTTTATGTAAGTAAGGACAGTGATAATGTTCAAGGAGCTGAAATGAACTCCAGTACTCTGGAACATAGCGAACACAGGATGGAAAGTTTAGCACAGGAGGAAAACTCTCCTGAGTGCAGCCTATGACCGTTTGCTTGATTATAAAATGATGACTCGTTGCCTGTCCTCGGCCATGCAGAGCTAATTTAAAATTTTTTCATCATAAAAAAATAGAGTGAAATTTGAAACATTTTGTTTCATTTCTGAATCAAAGAACCATGATTATAAGTTCTTTTGAGATTCTGGAGACACAGTGCCCAGCCTGTACACCGTGGGCGAGCACTCTGCCACCCATTTGCATGCCTAGTCCTAGCAACTATGTTCATTAATGTGTCTATTAAAGTCAGGTTGTACTAGGTGGTTTCCTCAGTCAACATTAATAAAGGAACCTCACGTTTTGGGCCTGTCTATGACAATGTGTTTAGTCTATAAGCATGACCTCCCTTTTTCTCTCAGGTCACAGTTCCTGAATCAGTACCCCCAGGGTACTCGGTGTTAGCCGTATCAGCCACAGATTTAGAGGGCAATGAGAACGTTTCGTACAGAATCCTTTCCCCCTCTAAGGAATTCTCCATTGATCCTGTGAATGGTGAGTTATTTAAGGTGGCTTTCATGCTTATAGGTTTGAGTTACAGGGTGGAAACATGGAATAATCCTTTCCAAACACTCTGAAAATAGTCCCCCAGCTCTACCCCTTAGAATTATGAGCGTCACCTTCTCATTTATCTTCACGTCAAACACGACAGGAACCAATGCCAGTGTTACTTCTCTGCTCCAGCATTCCAGTGGCCAGAAAGCAAAAGGTATTGCTAGTGAATACTGAGAAATTTGCAGACTCCTACATAAGGAGTTCATGTGTCCAGGCAAGCCGAGCTTGGGCAATTCCCCAAGCAATCAACAAGAATCAGAATGATGTCAACAGGATTAACCCTGGACTGAAGACTTCACATTACCAGAGTTGGGAAGCTTTTTTTAGTAAGTACACATACAAAAATATTCAGGAATAGCACCATATATTCAACAAAGAGAAGAGCAATTTAAAAAAGGAAAACGATGCAAGCATCCATTTCTACTAAACATAAAACACTGTGTTCTGTTTTATTTGATGTCTGCCAAGGCCCTTTGTATTTTTATCACAGAACAAGACATTTATGTTTGTGAAATGTACTCAGGCATGTGATCCCACATTCGAATAATTAGAGTACAGAGGAAGCCTAGCCCTGAGTGGACATTAAAAGTTAATGTTTTTGTAAATGGGAAGCTGACCAAGGGCTAACGGATATGGGGAGGGGACAGGTCAGTACCAAGAATGAGGATGTGCTCTGTGCATGTGTGAAGTCCCCGTGGTGAATGCAGTCATGGTGTACTTCAAATGTGTACTAATAAAAATTTTAAAAATAAAGAAGTAGAAAAACAGCTAATGTCGATAAAAATGAATAATCAACAAGACAATGTGCAAGCAGCACACAGGCTAAGGAGGAGCAAGAGCTGGGATGCGTCACACTGTGTGGTCCCATCTCTCCCCATTGTCCTAGCCTTCCCACGAGAGCTTCTTTAAAAGTCAGCATCATTCCATTGGGCTGCTATCTACTGCTGGGACGCAACACAGACATCTGGACTCAGGACTCCTGGTTGCAGGGGTTATAATACATCAGGAACTGATGCCCAGGCAGAAGCATCTTCCAAAAAGGGCATGGAGAGCGGAACTGCTCCCCTCCCAGCGGTCTAAGGAGGTCAGCCCAGGAGAGCAGCACCACAGAGGAAGAGGCTGTGGTGGCCAGGCAGAGTCCCCAAGATTACACTTCCATGTCTCACCCAGGCATTGCCAGGAAGTGTGCTGTGCCCTAGGTATCGCTGACACCAACAGAGTTGAAAATCAAGATTAATCATCCCTGCAAGGATGATGTGAGAAAATTATTTAGTCTGAAAATAACACAGTGAGACAGCAGAGCATTGTTGAGAGAACCAGGAAATTCATAACACTACTACAGAGTCTGTGGATGAATGAGGAGTGTGTGACCATCAGCATGTGGGGAATTTGGCCCCTCTTTCCCCCAGCCCCTTCCCTTTCCCTCTCCTCTCCACTCCACCTCTCTCTCTCTCCCTCTTCCTCTCCCTCTTTTTTCCTTTCCCTTTCCCTCTCTCTCTTCCTCTTCCTCTTCTTCCGCTCCTCCCTCAGATGTCAGACCCACAACTGCCACCTTGGCCGCAGCAAAGCAGTATGCAAGGCATCCCTCCAAAAATTCAATGCTTAGCCACATTTTTGGTTGACACGTGTCATCAACAAGATGTGGATCTGAATGTTTTTAAAACATTAAATGTTACCATGTTTATTTAGTATGTGTAATGACTATAATTAAAATGTGGCATTTGAATCTCAGCACTGTATTTAGTATTCTTTCTCAGTGACCATATTTAAAACACATTTGTCCTAGTAAAATATTGTTACATGCATATTTATAATAATTATTGGTATATTTATTTAATGCAATGAGACGTATAAACTATATTTTTATCAGTAAGACAAACATTCATTTGTTGAATTAAATAGAAATTTTAAGAAAGGTGTCTCCATGATTAGGAAATACTTTCAACTCTACAGTGTAATTTCTACTCCTTTTACTTTCCTGGAGTGATTGTCAGTCAATATTTCCAGAATAAATATGTTTATGTCAGAATATCTGCACATGCATTTATGGGCAGCTGAATGGGATATACATTTTTTCAACAGCAATATAATGTCCTTCTAAAAAGTTGTAACAGCACAGCTTACTATGCAAAAAATTAAAATTCAGAAAAAAAGCAACTACAGACAGTAACATTTCACAGAGAAAATGCCACCGATGTTATTGCTTAACCTTAAATGTTTTAAATGTAACACCTTAAATTTCTGTTTAGGTTTATTGTTGGTGGTAACTTAACACATCTAACAAGGACCTAAATGCATTTAGGTGCTGGAGAAGCACTTGCTGGTGGAATAGATCATAAGCGTCTTCATTTCACAGCAGTGACACACTATGTCCTGTTTTTCAGGCACCATATTTACTGCCAGTCCTATGTCACTTCTGGATAAAACACCAGTGGCTCGATTGCTCGTGGAAGCCAGTGATGGTGGGGTTCCTGAGCTGAAGGCTCTGACATTAGTGGAGATACAAATCCAAGATGTGAACGACTGTGCCCCCGAGTTTACAGTAGGGTTCTACAATCTCACCTTGAGTGAGGACACTCCTGTGGGAAGCACACTGGTCACGTTGTCAACCTTTGACTGTGACTGGACCCCTGAAAACACATACGTTGACTATTCCATCATCACTGGTGATTCAGAGAACCACTTCCACATGGAAAGCAGTCCCATCTGCTCAGGCTCTCGAGAGAGCCAGGTTGGTCATCTTGTGTTACTTCGAGGTCTTGACAGAGAAGCAAGGACCAGCCATGAGCTCATCATCCTGGCATCGGACCATGGCTGCCCCCCGTTGAGCTCCACAACCATCATTGTCCTGCACTTGCTCGATGCTGATGACAGCCCGCCCAGGTTCAGCAGCCTGGAGTACCATGCCCGTGTCAAGGAAAGCATCACTCCAGGAAGCCTCGTCACCAGAGTCTCAGCCAGTGACTGTGACGTGGGTTCGAATGCGGAAATCTTCTACCAAGTCGTCTCCGGAGATGAGAGGAAACATTTTCACTTAGAAGAGAAAACCGGAGAACTTTATTTGAGTAAACCTCTGGATTACGAGGAAATGACGAGATTCACTTTAATCATCCAAGCTTCGGACAAAGACGAGAAACATTTTTCTTTTGCAGCTATGTTCATCAGCATCTTAGATGACAACGACCACAAGCCCCAGTTTATGTCCCCCAGCGTGAACTGTGCGGTGCCTGAAAATCTGCCTGCATTCTCCAGCATCTGCTCTGTAAACGCCGTGGATTTCGATGCAGGTCCTTATGGAGCCCTGACTTATTCCATTGTGTCCCCCTGTTTTGTCCCCAATGGGGTGCCTCCCAGTCAGGATCTCTTCAATATTGACCCTTTGACAGGGGACATTCATGCTAAACAAATCCTTGACTATGAAAGTGTCCAGAAATATTGTCTCCTAGTGCAGGCCCAAGACAAGGGTGGCTCAATAGCCTCTGTAAGGGTTTGGGTGGATGTCAAAGGGATAGATGAATTCCAGCCCATTTTCACTCAGGATCAGTATTTTTTCAGCTTGCTAGAGAAGACTCCAGAAGGACAGCCCATCGGCAGAGTGGAAGCGTCCGATGCAGACGCTGGCACTGATGGAGTCATTCTTTACTCCCTGGAGACTGCTTCTCCTTTCTTTTCAGTAAACAGAACCAGTGGAAATATTTACTGGACCAGAGCCTCTCCCTTAATGAAAGGTCAGATTGGCGAAGGCAATGTCTTTGAAATGAAAATCGTTGCCCGTAGCCCCAAACTGGGCTCCAGATCCGCGTGGTGCACTGTGTTTGTGAACTCGTCTCTATCCCCGGCAGGAAAGCATGCAGGCCAGTCCACCCCCAGCTTCTCCATCAGCATCACTGCCTCCTCCGTGGTGTTCCTCTTATTCATCTGCATCTTAACGGTACTGATTTTAAAGCATAAACCAAAAGCCACACCACACAATTATGAAAAGAAGAAAACGTCCTCCTCCTTAGACATCAGTTTGAAACTGACAGGGGACAACAGCGGTGTGCATGAGGCCCTGCAGGAGAAGGCGGAGTGCAGGGATGAGGCATTGCGGGCCAGAGCCGTTCCTGGGTGGTGGAGCCTCATAAGCACCATGGAGAAGGACCACGGCAACCAGTACAGGCTCTCCAACTCCAGCGGCCACTGTTCGGTGGAAGGGGAGACTGCGGAGGACAGGGAGATTCAGAGGATAAATGAGCAGCCCTACAGAAAGGACTCAGACTCAGCCCTGAGTGATCGGGGCTCCCGGGTGCCGGACTCTGGCATCCCCAGGGACTCAGACCAGCTCTCCTGCCTATCTGGGGAAACCGACCTGATGGCCTGCACTGAAGTGACAGAAGGTGGCCACACGGTGGAGGGAGGATATGGGGACGAAGGCTGTAACATAGTTTATGTTCAGAAGAACATGTTCTCCCAGGCCCTGCAGAGGAAAGAAGCAAAAGAGAGGGTCCTGGCTGACACCAAGAAAGATTCTGTCTTTGCCTCAGGAGACCAGGACGCCAGCTGTGCAGCCCTTCCAAGTGAGTTAACCTCGGGTAGCGATGTGAGAGGCAGCTCTGCCTGGGGCTCCCTCCTGAGCTGGGAGCCCAAGTTCCAGCCTCTTGCCTTGGTATTTAATGATATTGCACAACTAAAGGATGAGTTTGAGATTGCAAAACATAAGCCTGGCATTCCCAAAGAGAAGTCTTCAGTCTTTCCACCACCTTTGATAACAGCAATAGCCCAGCCTGGGATTAAAGCAGTTCCACCAAGAATGCCAGCCACAGCCTCAGGGACGCTGCTTCAGAAATACCCCCGGCCCCCGCTTCTCCACCACCATGGTTCCCTGGCAGAAGCTGGGATGTGCAGCTTTTCCCCTGACCTCTCCCTGCGGACTCCAGCCAGGGCGGCACTGGTGTCCCATGGCCATCTAGGGACACGCCTAGGTGACACACACTGTGACCTGAAAGTGGAGGATGAGGTTGAAATATAAAGTTGTCTATGGTGCCAGCTTCCTCGTCACCATCTGTCACCAAAGGCTGAAGCAAAACAACCTCAAACAAGTTCCTCCACCCAAGGTTCATGCTTATCTAAAAGCCAGGGGTTTTGCAAACCTCCCCATCTGAGTGTCTCGAATTTCTTCCAGCCTTAACGAGCAGTTATTTCTTATTTTTAAGGGTTTAATTTTGTTCTCAGGACTCACATATGTATATATCAATCAATGTATATTCTGTCACATCTGGTTTTCTGTATGATTCGATTTCCAAAGGACACCATGAACTTCACTGATGCCAAAATATTTATATGGAAAAAATAGAAATAAAGTCTAGTGTAGTATGGTCATATTACTGCTGATTACACCACTGCATCTAAAACAACCAAACAAAAGTAATGGCCAAATGGGGAATGTGTTTAGGACAGAAAGTAACAGGGAGGAAATCTGGGCAGATGAATCTTTGTGTTAAGACAAAGCAACAGGCCGGGAGTGGTAGCACATACCTGAAATCCCAGCACTCGAGAGTCTGAAGGAGGAGTTTGAGGCCAGACTGAACTGCACAGTAAGACCCTGTCTCAACAAACAAACAAAAAACAGCAACAGAAAGAGCCAAAGTAACAGTCTGTAGTTAGGATCTTTAGAGATGCATCTCTCCACTTTCTCTGTACACCACCTGTGGAATTTAAGGAGAATCTGAAGTTTAAAATAGTGTCTTTGGGGAAGTTAAGGAGAAAGTAAGAGTAAAATCTGTCATTATTCTGTGAAACAAATAAGATAACTGTTCATCATTAAATGAACTAGAAATGCATGTTTGGATAAAGGAGCGGGATCATGTGTAGAACTGATTCTTAGGTGCTTCTCTGCCGCCTGGCCTGGGCACGTTGCCCTTTTTCTGCACATAGAATGATGTGTGTCAGTGCTCTGTCTGATAACAGGGAGCAGGTACAGATATGAAACTTGAAAGGTTAAATTACAGAATGTTCTTCCTTTTACTTTCTTTTAGATAGAGTAAATTTGTAGATGGAATAATTTATCCATTCATGTCCCTTTAAGGTTTGTATAGATAAAATTATGTTATTTAGCTAATTATAAATTTCCTAGAATAATTCACAATATATTTTTAAATCAATTTTTTATATATGTATGAATGTTTCTACTATGAATCTTATTAAGAACAGCTGTCCATTTTCCATTCGCTCCCGCTTGGTGCAACTCTTACTGCCCCTAGGTGAGCAGTTTGGCAGCGTGGTGAGCAAGCTGCTGGGTGCAGTTCCTGGTTCAGAAACCCCTTCTGGGCACTGCCGCGTCCTCTGAGGCTCCTGAAAGAGCATCGGGGCCCTGCAGAGGGGGATGGTCCTGCAGTCCTCTACCCAGCAGTGCCCTGGCCAGGCTCTAGAGAAATGGCTGAGAAATCTGGGTGTGAAATCCCGAGGTCATCTGGATGGCTGTCTTTCTAGCAAGGCTGAGTTTATACTATAGGACTCTTTCCTCAGTGCTGCCCCCGCTGCCCCTGTGTGTCTCATCTGTGCAATTCTGTGAGATGATTTTGCTTTCCTGCAAACCCCTGCAGATGCAGTGTTCGATATCTTGTATGTAGATAAGTAATTCTGTGGTGTCCTGTGGTGGTATAATCAGTGTTATGTAGCCCCCTTGACTCAAACCGAGGGCCGTTCATAAAAACCACATTAATAAATGTATGAAACAGGAAAGTTTGGGATAAACCTTTAATTGTAGGAAAAGTCATTTAGAAGTAGAACATTTAAATATTACAGGACTGATTTGTGATTCCTCTTCATGACATTTGGGGAAGAATATTTCATGACTTTTATTAAGCAACAAAAACATCTAGTTCCTTCGTGGTCCCAATATTTATTATCTCTTGGACTGTTTTTAAAAGATTACTTTTAGGAAGAAATCTTACTATTTTTTTCTAATTTTGTGTGACAGTCTTATTTTGCAAGAGCAACATTTCCGGAAATGGCTTATAATTTTGTTTCTAATTAAACGGGTTCTTCATTTACTTATGCTTTAAAAAAAATGCCCATCTATGATGTTCCTAAATCACCGGCCTGTGATTGATGACTGAATGTGCTGAATATGATTCTGTGATTTTGTTTGCCACTTCATAAAAAGAAAAGACGTGAAGTACTTAGAACTCCTTACCAGTATTTAGTGGTCTTTTAATTGATGGCTTTAGTAATACCAGATCCACACCACCCTATCACCGAACGACCGCAGTGGGGTTGGAACTCAAAAATGTGAACACGCTGGTCAAGTGTTTGTAATAAATCATATGTCAGCCCTTTCAGCGAGAGTGCTTTTTTCCTAAGTAAACAATATAATTTGTACAGTTTTCCTTCAAGTTTAATATTAACTTGCCTCATATGTTCTGTGTTACTTTGCTGATCTCTACACCAGCTTTAGCACATGGAGGGGGTACAGAACTTGTTAGTGGAAAATCACATTAAGCCTCAGATTCATAAGCTATAAAATAAAAGACAGTTGTCTCTTGTGGAATTTTGGCTGCCTGAAATTCTGGACTTTCTTGTTGGCAGCCTGAAAAGTACTGGTGTAAATCAGTACCAAATGAATATCAAAATTCCATGTCCTAGTAGTAATCGTTGGATTGGCTTCCAAAACAGATTCCTGGACAAAACAAGGGGAAAAGGCTGTACCTTCAGGGATTTGATCATTTCTGGGTTTTCAGCAGTGCAGAAGTGTGTCATACACTGCCGGATGTACCCTCCCGTCTGTCGATGTCCAGCAGAAACAGGGCTTTGTCCTTCCTCTCCCACCATCTTGATTCTCAGGGCTCTTCTAACTGTGCACTTTAGAAATAGTCTGGGGAAACGTTATTCATTTTGAGGATTTTTATACAGCGATACACTTTGTCCTTTTTGTTTTCTTTTGCCCCTTTACACCTACCTTATGTTTCAAAATGCAAGATAAAATGATCTCAGATAATGATCCACTTCAATGTAATGAACATGGAGTGAGGACAGCCCCTGAAGTCTCCCGTGACAGTACAGATGAGCTCCAGGAGTGTTTGTCACAGCGTGTTCTCCTGAGTGCCATTGCGGGAGGAAGGGAAAGGAAGGTCCGTCAGTGCAGGGAGGGATCCGCCCCAGTGGAACTGCAGAAGTTCACTTTGCATCCACCCTAAGTGGCAGTTTTAGCTCCTCAGAGAGGTGCAGAAAGAGATCAGAAGCAGAGAATGGCAGACCGGAGAGAAAGAGAGGATGCACTCTGAAAAGAAGAATTTTAGACACGAGGGAAGTGCGTGAAAGCAGGGAGCAAGGACTGAAAGTGATGCCCAACCCTTCTCCCATGTCTGGAGTTGACCCTTTTGAAGACTCTTCGCCTCCTTCCCTTCTGTTTCTTTCCTCTCTGTTCTTCCTCCTCTATGGTCTGAGGATTTAGATTTATCGGGTACATTTGACCACAAAAATTTGCATTCAGTTTGTCTTTGTTTTTTTAAGGGGTAAATTTCAGAGAAAACAAGTAGGGAATGCTTACATGTATTATTTGCCACTCTACCCAAGTTTGCCTTTGAGAATGCCACAGTTTTAGGTCGTTGATTTTTGGGCGTAGAATAAAAAAAAAAAAAAAAAAAGATCAGAGTCAGTTGGGACAAAATATGATCTTAGGACCTGTCTTTCTTCTGGCAGCTAATCTTTTTTTTTTTAAGAAGTCATTGCTTGATGGTTATGATTTTATTTTAAATATCACATTTTACATAACTTTTAAAGCACAATATAACACAAGGAATCATCAAGAACTTGTTCTCAGTCAACTCTCCTTGAACTGTAATGACAAATTGTCTTGATTCCATGTAGATGAAAGAAATGTGTCCATTAGAAACACTTATGGCAACCTAAAGTGATCCAAACTCCAATGCCTCCAGTATCAACCATACCTCAGCTTTGTTCCACACTCAGCACTTGGCTAGTTGATGACAATTAGCACTTCCTACCATTTTGTCTACATAACTTTACCCAGTGCATTTGCTAAACCGAAACTGTGTGAGTAAGGGAGGGGGAGGCGTGCCAAATAAGGAGCAGATGCCGATGTACATCTCTAGAATGAGGAAGCCTTATTTTGGTTAGAAAACTAAATAAATGGATTTCGTTGCTAGATCGTCAACCCTCAGGCAAAGCCTAGTCTCAACTTGTGCTGTGAAGCACAGATGGCTTTTAGAATGAATAAGCACATGTGTGAATGGTTGTGAAGGGTGTTATAGTAGGCCTTCAACCTATTAGGTGAAAATTCTGACCTAGTTCTGTGATTGCAGCCAATCACAGGGCAGAGAGTCAATGTAAATATCGTATTGGCACATTACAGCCTAGCTTATAAAAAGCCAGAGGACCCGCACTTCCTTCTTAGTATGATTTGTTTTCTCTTCCTCTGCCCCGTCTTCATAATATGCATGTATGTCTCTTGAACTTTAGATACAATAGACAAAATCCATAAGTGACTTTCAAAAATATTATTTGAGACAGTAGCATGATGTGATGATCCATTTCAGTGGAGACGCCCAGACGGTTCTCATCAAAATGCATTAAAATGTAAAGCAAAAACAACATGAGGAAATTCTGAGATGTATTCTGTATCTGCACATACTTAGTCTTGTTAACAGCAGTATTTTAAACAAGTACAGGTTATTTAATAAATTCATGCTGAGGAATTGGAAGAGGCAGGACATATGAAGTCATTTTCCTCACACAATTAAAAAAGTAAACTCTAACTGGACTGCTGAATAAGAGTAGAAGCCATATACACTGGAAAAACCCCAGAAAAATGATGAGAAAGATCTTTTTTACATATAAAAGCAAAGTTGGAGTGATGGATTTGAAATTATGGTAATTAAAAGTACTGTAACAAATTATAAGAGATAATAATTAGGAAATATATAATTTTTTTCTTTTTTCTTTTTACCGGTACTGAGGATCAGGAAATATATAGATTTAAGCAATATTCACTTAGTTCCTATGGTGAACCAGGCATGGATTTGGGCTTCGAAGATTCAGGAATATGCAAAACAGATTAAGCTGCCAAATTCACATTTTTATTTGAGGAAGATGATAAAAATACACTTTTATGAAACTGTATAAAGAAAAATGAATGGCGATGTGCTGTCCCCAGGACTGTGGGACAGTAGAGCTGTGCCATCCAGATGAACTCCAGAGGGGCAGCGTCTCTGGTCAGGCACTGTTTTAACTGAGCGAAGTCTTGGATTCAGACACCAGACGGAAAGTGCTGAAGCTGCGCGCATCAGGGGCTTGTGGAGTTTCAGGTCTCAACTAGGTCTTCAGAGTGTGAAGGTCTTCATAGGCGTGGTAAAAGAAGTCAGATTTGTTTCAAGTATGGATGGAAAACCGTTGGTAACTTTTGTACAGGATTATGTTCATATCTCAATTATACTTCTAAAAGGTAACTGGCTACTTTGTAAAAAATAGTCCAAAGCAGAAGTGAGAAGAGTTTGGTGTGTACTAAGACTCCAGTTTAAGGCTCCTGCAGTAATCCTACCTACTGGGACTACAGCTTGGGCTTGAGCTGCTATGGGTAAAAGAGACCAGAGTCGGGATCTACGCCAGAGATAGAGGTGCAAGTTCTCCATAATGGATTAGATGGGGTTTAGAGAGAGTTGGACATCACCCTGGGGTTGGAGAGAGTTTAGGAATATAAAGAAATTTCAGAGTTATTAAAATAAAGATAGTACTTCAAGCCATGGTATTGGATGCCTGGAGGATACGATTAAGGAGTAAGTGTAGATAGAGGAACAGATGACACCAGACTGACTGCTGGATCACAAAGAAAGAAGTCAAAAAGAGAACTTTGAGGATGGAGCAAGTAGTTCCCAGACAGCAATAGAAGTAAGATAGAAAAGAGATAAAGCAGTGTCCAATGGTCCAGTGAAAAGGGTATACTCTCTCTCTTTCTCCTCGCCCCATGAATAAAGTATGTAAGGCTAGGATTGTATAAGACCTCAGGAATGTTTCTGAAGAATTGGCTAAAGAATGCGTTTCCCACAGCAGATAAATACCAGAGAAGGCTCACCAAAGGGACGTTAAGATACTTAATCATGGAGCTGATGGTGGGTAGAAAGGTGATGTAATAGTGTATACCTAACATACACTCTAATAAAGCTATAACTACAAAAGTAGAAGAAAGGAAGAGTCTAATGGAAAGAGAATGCTTGGTTGTAGGGATTAAGAGGTATTTCTTCAGGATAGAAAAAATAATTAGAAAGAACAAGTATATTAAAGGCAAAAACAATTATTAATGAGTTATAAAAAACAAAAACCCTACCAGGGTTTATGAAAAGGCAAGCCTGATTTTTTAAAAACCAATTAAATTAAATCAACTGAATGTAAGAAAATGTACAATAAAATATAGCATACAAAAAGCAATGAAAACTGATTATTGTCAAAAGAAAGAAATGTACATCAAAAAGATTTCAATCCAGCTCCATATAAATTAGTGTGAAATAGTAAAGAAATTTTTCTCACCAAAACTGACCCCAATGGACAGAATCTAAGCAGATCAAGTTTAAAAGAAGAAATAAAGTTATGAAGAAGCTGCCCAGAAATTGTTTCATGTGGAAATTTTAGCAAATCGTCAAAGATCACATACCCCAAATGCAGTGTAAGTTACCTAAACTATTCCAAAGCATGGAAATATTTTTTATATGCTGAATATAGAATTTATGTCCAAACCTAAAATAATACACCATAACATGGGTGATTTAGTTTTGAAATACAAAAATGATTCATTATCAATATAATTCATATTAGTGGAGCTATGGAGGAAACTATGGACATTTTCTTTAATGGCAAAAAGGAGTTAATGAAATTCAAAATCCAATTATAAAAAACATCTGTCACTAGTGGACAGTTCCTTAAAGTATTTCACCCCATAGCCAGGTTACTCCCAATAAAGCTACTCCAAACTTTGCCACAAAACCCCAGAATGAGCACTGACTGTACTTTCATCCACACTTAATGCTGTGTGATAGAAATTACTTCAAACAATTCAACAGGATAACATCTAGAAGCATAAGAATGAAACACTGAAGTGAAACACTATATTTTTGAAAAACTCAAAATATGGAGACACTCTTAGAAACAATAATTCAGCAAAGTTGAAAGATAAAATTATGCAAAAATTATCAATCAATATGCATCACATTTTTGAACAATAATCAAAAGATGAAGGAGACATAACTCCACTGACAATATAAAAACAAAGTAAAAACTAACAATAACCGCTTAATCTCGTTAGGAAAATTATAACTTCTAAAAGATGAAA